CTCTTCAGCACTTTGGAGAGGTCCCTAACAGCAGACTTTCCCATGGCAATGTGCCTTTTAATTTCCTGGCTGCTGGTGCCAAGACTGTTGATATAAACTATAAACTATATAAACTAAAAAGTATAATCTTTGCCCTAATCTTAACCATAACTCTAACCCTATCCCTAACAAAAACCATAACCTTACCATGAAAACTAGATGGAGACCTAGGTCTAGCCCTAGGCCTAACCCTATCCCTAATCCTAATCCTAAACCTAACCCTAGAGGAAAACCCAGGTCTAGACCTAGACTTAAATCTAGCCCTAACACTAAAGCTAACCCTAACCCTATTCCCCACCCTAATCCTAACCCTAACCCCAAGCCTTACGTGAAACCTAGATGGAGATCTAGGTCTAGCCATAGTCCTAAACATAACCCTAATCCTAAACCTAACCCTAACCTTAACTGTAACCCTAACCCTAACCCTAGATGAAAACCTAGGTCTAGTCTAGACCTAACCCTAGCCCTAAACCTAACCGAACATTAACGCTAAGCCAAACCCTAACCATAACACTAGCCCTAACCTTAGACGAAGACCTAGATCTTGCACTAGACATAGGCCTAGCCCTAATCCCAATCGTAACCATAACAGTAAGCCTAATCCAAAACCTAATGATAGAGGAGGTCAAGGTCTAGACTAGCCCTAATCATAACCATAACACTAACCCTAAACCTAACACTAGACGAAGATCTAGGTTAAGACCTAGCCGTAACTCTAAGCCTAACCGTAAACCTAGCCCTAACCCATACCCTTACCCTAGATGGAGACCTAAGTCTAGCCCAAGTTCTAAACTTTGCCCTAATCTTAACCCGAAAACTAACCCTCACCCTAAACCGAGACGAAGACCTAATCCCAGGCCTAACCCTAACACTAACACTAACCCTAGCCCTAATACTAGACGAAGATCTAGGTCTAAGCCTAGCCCGAACCCTACCCGTAATGCTAATCTTAACTGGAACGCTAACCTTAAACCTAGCCCTGACCATAGACGAAGACCTAGGTGTAGCCCCAATCCTAACCCTAGGCCTAACCCTAACCCTAACACTAACACCAACACTAGACCAATAGCTAGATCTAGCCCTAGACCTAACCCTAACCGTGACCCTAACACTAACCGTAACCCTAGGCCAAACATTAACCCTAACAGAAACCTTAAACCTAACCCTAGCCCTAATCCTAGAAAAAGACTTGAGTCTACCAATAGCCCTAAACCTAGGCCTACCCCTAATCCTAACCCTAACCCTAAATAACATTAACCCTAACCATAACCCTAACCCTAACAGTAGATGAAGAACAAGGTCTAGGCCTAGCACTAATCCTAGCTGTAATCCTAACCCTAGCGTAAACTGAGACCAAGACCTAGGTCTAGCCCTAGTCCTAGTCCTAGTCCTAGTCCTAATCCTACTCCTAACGCTAACCCAACCCCTAACCCTAACCTTACCCTAACCCTAACCATAATAATAACCCTAACCCTAGATGGAGACCTAGGTCTAGCCCAAGAACTAAACTTAGTGCTAATCTTAACCTTAACACTAACCCTAGACGAAGACCTAGGTTTAGCCCTAGCCCTTATCCGAACCCTAACCCTAACTCCAACCCTAACCATAGCCCTAAACCTAGATGAAGACCTAGACCTAACCCTAAACCTAAACCTAACCCTAACCCTGACCATAACATTAACCCAAAACCTAGACGAAGACCTTGGTCTAGAAATAGCCCTAACTTTAACAATAACACTAAACCTAGCCATAAACCTAGATGAAGACCTAGGTCTAGCCCTAGCCCTAGACCTAACCCTAACCCTAACCCTAAACCTAAACCTAACCCCAACCCCAACCCCAACCCTAACCATAACCATAACCATAACCATAACCATAACCATAACCATAACTCTATGCCTAAACCTAATTCTAACCCAAGATGGAAACCTAGGTCTAGCCCAACCCCAAATCTTTGCCCTAATCTTAACCCTAACCCCAATGCTAGATGGAGACATAGACCTAGCCTTATACCTAACCCTAGCCCTAATCTTAACCCTAAAATTAACCTTAACATGAAACCTAGAAGGAGACCTAGGTCTAACGCTAGCCCTAACCCTAACCCTAATCCTAATCCTAACATTAAAGCAAGCCCTCACCGTAACCCTTACCCTAACACTTACCCTAACCCTAACCCGAGATGGAGACCCAAGTTTAGCCCTAACCTTAAACCTAACCCTAACCCCAACCCTAGATGAAGACCTAGGTCATACCTAGCCATAACCCTAGGCCAACCCTAACTCTAACCCTCAACCTAACCCTAACCCTAACCGTTCCCTAGACGAAGTCCGAGTTCTAGACATAGCCCCAAGCCTAACCCTAGCCTACCTCTAACCCTAACCCTAACAATAAGCCTAACCCTAGATAGAGAACTAGGTCTAGCCCAAGACCTAAACATAGCGGTAATCTTAACCCTAACACTAACCCTAGACGAAGACCTAGGTCTAGCTCTAGCCCTATTCCGAACCCTAACCCTAACCCTAACCCTAACCCAAACCCTAAACCTTACCGTAGCCCTAAAACTAGATGAAGACCTAGGCCTAGCTCTAGACCTAACCAAGTCCTCACCCTCACCCTCACCCTCACCCTCATCTTAACCCTAATCCTAAGCCGAACACTAGCCCTAAACCTAGATGAAGACCAAGGTCTAGCCCTAGACCTAACCTTAGCCCTAACCCTAACACTAACGCTAGATGGACACATAGGCCTAGCCTTAGACCTAACCCTAGCCCTAACCGTAACCCCAAAACTAACCCTAACGCTAACCCTAAAACGAAACGAGAAGGAGGCCTAGGTCTAAAGCTAGCGCTAAAGCTAACCTAACCCTAACCCTAAACTTAGACGAAGACCTAGGTCACACCTACCCCTAAACCTAGCCCTAACGCTAAGCCTAAGCCTATGCCTAAACCTAACCCTAACTCTCACCCTAACCCTAATATTAGGTGAAGACCTAGGTTTAGCCCTAGCCCTAACCCTAGTCCTAACCCTAACCCAAACCCTAACCCTAACCCTAACCCTAACATTAGACGAAGACCTAGGTCTAGCCCAAGCCCTAACCCTAACCCTAACCCTAACTCTAAGCCTAACCCTAACCCTAACCCTAGATGGAGACCTAGGTCTACCCCAACCCCAAATATTTGCCCTAATCTTAACCCTAACCCGAAAGCTAGGTGGAGACGTAGGCCTAGCCTTAGACTTAAACCTAGCCCTAATCATAGCCCTAACATTAACACTAACACTAACACTAACCCTAACACTAGCCCTCACAGTAGCCTTAACCCTAACACTAACCCTAACCCTAATCCGAAACCTAGCCCTAACCCTAACCCTAAACCTAACCTGAGATGGAGACCTAAATCTACCCCTCACCTTCAACCTAACCCTAAACCTAACACTAACCCTAGATGAAGACCTAGGTTACACCTACCCCTAACTTTAGCCCAACCCTAACTCTAATTCTAACCCTAACCATAACCATACCCATAACTCTAAACAGAGACCTAAGTCTAGACATAGCCCTAATCCTAAACCTAACCCTAACCCCAACACTAGATGAAGACCTAGGACTAACACAAGACCTAAACTTAACCCTAATCTATACCCTAACCTTAAACCTAATCCTAACACTGACTGTAACCCAAGACGAAGACCTAGGTCTAGCCATAGCCCTATCCCTAGCTCTAAACCTAACCCTAACCCTAACCCTAACCCAACCTTAGCCCTAGCCCTAACCCTAACACTAACACCAACACTAACACTAACCCTAGACGAAGACTTAGGTGTAGACCTAACCCTAACCCTAGCCTTAACCCTAACCCTAACTCTAAACATACTCCTACCCCTAACCCTAGCCCTAACCTTAACCCTAATCCTAACCCCAACCCTAGACGATGACCTAATTGTAGCCCTAACCCTAACCCTAACTCTAAACATACTCCTACCCCTAACCCTAGCCCTAACCTTAACCCTAGACGATGACCTAATTGTACCCATAAACCCAACCCTACCCTAACCTTAATCCTAGACGGAAACCTATGTCTAGACCGCCTTAACCCTAAGACTAACTCTAAACCTAAACCTAAGCCTAACCCTAAACCTAGACAAAGACCTAGGACTACCCAAGCTCTAACCCAAGCCCTAAGCCTAATCCTAACTGTAACCCCAACCCTAACACTCAGCCTAACCCTAACCCTAGACGAAGACCTAACCCAAACCAGAACCCTAACCCTAACACTTAACCTAACCCTAACCCTAGACATGGACCTAGGTCTACCCTAGCCCTTACCCTAACCCTAACACTAACCCTACCCTAAAACTAACCCTAACCCTAACCTTAGCCCTAACCCTAACCCTAACTTCTAGACCTAACCTTAGACCTAGCCCGAACCCTAACCCTAATTCTAGCCCTAAACCTAAGCCTAAGCCTAACCCTAACCCTAAACCCTATCCCGAACACTAACTGTAGCCCTAAGCCCAGCCCTAAAACCAACCCTAACCCTAACCCTAGATGACGACCTAGATCTAGACCTAGTTTAACCCAAGCCCTAACCCTAATCCCAACCCTAGACTGAGACCTACGTCTAGACCTAGTACTAATCTTAACCCTAACCCTAACCCTCACCCTAACTAACCCTAACCCTAACACTTACCCTACCCTAAACCTTGGTGGAGACCTAGGTCTAGACCTAGCCCTAACCCTAGCCCTAACCTTAACCCTAACACTAGGTGGAGGCCTAGGTCTAGCCCAATCCCTAAACATAGCCCTAGTCTTAACCCTAACCCTAAATCTAGATGGAGACCTAGGTCTAGCCCTAGCCCTAACCCTAACCCTAAACAGAGACCTACGTCTAGACCTAGCCCTCATCCTAACCCTAACCCTAACCCTAGATGAAGACATAGGACTAACACAAGCCCTTAAATTAACCCTAATCTATACCCTAACTGCTTAATGTTTGGGGGAAAATCTAAGTCTAAAATAGTTGAGACATTTTAAAAAATTACTTATATCTTTTTATTTTGGTTAAAGATTACAGATATTACTTGTTTTCATAGAATCATAGAATAATCTAGCACATGATAAAGCAATTAATCAGATAATCACACCTAGTTTGGATTCTTACACAGAACACAGATGACAGTTTTCAAGTAAGTATTTTGAAAATATTTTAAATATAATGCCTTTTATAAACAAGAGGGAGCTCTGGTGACTGAATGGTAAGGAACTAAGCTGTGAACTGAAAGACATGCAGTTTGAATCCACTGGCTGCTCTTTAGGAGAAAGATGGGCAGTCTCCTCCCATGCAATTTAGTGCTTTGGAAAATCCATTGGAGTGTCAGTTATGGGTCAGTTCCAACTCCGATGATGCACAACAAAACATACATACATACATACATACATACATACATACATACATAAGTTGGTTTCAACTCAAAGACAATGGGTTTGTGAGGGTGTTTTTTGTTTTTGTTTTTGTTTTTACTGAAAACTAGTTTTATTTTAAAATTAAGTGCATAGCACTCATCTAATTCCATTGGTGTAGATTTTTAGCACCATACTTGTTTGTAGTTAATGTGGTAACAGGTAACATTTTGGTTTGCAGTCTGTACTTGAGTAGTGTTTATGTAGTGGACTTTGGTAAAGCCCTTTATACATACTTTCACAGTACACATTTAATGATGGTCCAATAATTAAAAAAAATAAAAATCCAAACAAAACCCCAAATCTAACTTAACTAATCAATAAATTAAACAAAACTCACACAGTTCCTCTGCCCCCAAAAGCTAGTAGTTAGTTGCAAGCTGTCTTTATATCAAATACTAATGTTTTAAAAAATAGTTCTGGTTCCACAACCATTATCCCCACCCTACCTGGATATGCAGCAACAGTAATTGATTATTCTACCCAGCCCTGGGGGAAAAAAAATTCAATCCAGTGTTCTTTAGCATCTTTAAATATAAATTGAGAAAATGTTAATAAGCTTTTTTAAAATGGCATAATCATCTATAACAAGAATTACATTTAAACCAGTCAATAAAAGCATTTGACAAGACATTAATTTACCATAGGCACCGGTTGTTGTTTCAAGTTGGGACCTCTATCCCAGTATCTTACATTCATAGCGTATTTGAGGTAGTTAAAATACTGAAAATTGGACTCCAGGTTGCTGAGTTCTGAATGTGAACGATACACTTTTGAACCTCCTTTCCTACAAATAGTTCAAGTTGTTTTTTGTTTGTTTTTTTTTAAGGTAGGACATGAGTTTTCAAGCATGGAAATACAAAGGAAGAGGAACAGTTGTAAGCAGACACTGGCGATTGGGACATGGAATGTGAGAACCATGAATGTAGGAAAATTAGATATTGTTAAGGAAGAAATGGAACGCATAAATATTGACATACTAGGCAT